AACTCTGCTTCGTAGCCTGTTCTCAACTTTTGAAGAATTTTTACACCATAGTTTTCAAATATTTTAATTTGATTTTTATTTTGTTGTATGGTTAATTGTTCTTTTATCGGTACTAGTATTGGAAGGATAGAAGCCAAGCTGCTTTAATAGGAGATACTTGTATTTGATAAGCTTGTTGGTGTATTTACTTACGTTTACCCACTCATATGCATGTCATAGCATTATTCAAATGTTGAGCCTATCACTGAGAATGGGAATTATTTTGCTGAGACAAAGACTGTTTCTGCTGAAAATGGTAACCTGATAGAAACTCAGGACAAAGATGTTGTATCAGAAGGCCTTGGTTCGGTTGACATATACGATCTGTGGATTTCACCTCCAATAAGTGGCCAACGTCCCAAAGCCCGATATCAAGTATTGGCATATCTATCATTTAAATATCAGTCCTTTCTTCTTCTTTTCTTGCCTTTGCCCTCATCTAAGCACATTTACATTTATTTGCCAGCATGGAGCAGCAGTTGTGCAGGACAAGATGTATCTATATGGTGGAAACCACAATGGCCGTTACCTCAATGACCTTCATGTAAATAAACCATTTACATCAGTATGCAATACACATGCTTCCTGCCGTGTTGTTGTGTGTGCGCGTTTTTTTTTCTTTCTTAAATATCCTGATAAAAGTTCAGTTTGGTCTATTCTTTTGGACCTGAAACAAAATCTTTACTGAACTTTAATTCTCAGTTTCCAGGTCATTACTAGAAAACTCGGGTCTAATCCTGTAGTCTTGATAACCTGGATTCTTGTTTATACACTCATGCATCAGTATAACTACGCATGATAGCTTTCCCTAATATGAGGAGTGGTTCAGGTTCTAGATTTTCGAAGTTGGACTTGGTCTAAGGTTGATGCGAAGGTTGGACCTCAGTCAGCGGAATCACCATCTCCAATAAATATAGTCCCGTGTGCTGGCCATTCATTGGTTAGTAGATAGCTGATGTTCTTTATTCTTTTCTTTGACCTTGCAAAATCAATTCTCTGATGGGAATGCGTACATCTCTTTAGAATCTGTTTTCTGAAACATAGTGTACCTGCTGTTGTCTGTCTTACAACTATTATTTAACTCTCTTTCTTCTTATCTCTTGCTTTCTTTCCCCTCAGATAGCATGGGAGAACAAGCTTCTTTCAATTGCCGGCCATATGAAAAATCCTTCTGAAACTATTCAGGGTACATATTTCTGGCCCCTTATCGTAATTTCAGAAAGTTAGAAGGGTTTTATCATTTGTCTCCTCTTTTCTCTAGATGACTTATTCTATTGTTCTGTATTCATATGGCAGTGAAGGCATTTGATCTGCGAACAGGTACATGGTCAATCTTAAAGACCAATGGCAAAACACCGGTATTTATCTGTTCTTCCTCTTTACTACCTCCGTCTTCCTGTTTCAACTAAAAATTTTCTGCAAAAGTACAATTAGAAAAATTAGTGTTTCATGTTTTTTTGTGCTCTTCTCAAAGATTTAGACCAGCCTTTGGTTTTCTAATGTTTCTGAAATATCAAATAGTCCCAGACTGCCTGTGGTCTTGGTCTTCCTTGCTTAATTGTCTTTACGAAACTGAAAACTGAATTCGTATTAATGTTGATTGCCTGGCAATATTTGGCTGAAATTTTTTGCACATATTAATATACTTGGATAAAGGTTGGAGCCAAATCTGTTTAAGGAAAAATGTCAGCTGCATATGTGTGCTTGTATACGCCTTTCCCCCCGATATTTTCCCATTTTCTTAACAGTTTTTATCAAATTCTTTTGCCAATATATTATGTGTTTTTCCTACGTTGTATGAGTTCCTTACAGGTCTCTCGTGGAGGTCAGTCTGTGACCCTTGTTGGAACCACCTTGGTTATATTTGGTGGACAGGATGCAAACCGAACACTCTTGAATGATCTATATATACTTGACCTAGAAACCATGACCTGGGATGAAATAGATACCGCGTAAGATTGTTTTTGACATTTTTATTCCTGCATTGCCCCTTCACACACATTAATTGATGTCTAAACTTTTTTGTTAAATATGTTCTACCGGCTCCTCTGTAGTCGTTAATGAGATTGTAATTGCAATAATATTTTCTGTCTTCCAAAATCTCAACATCTGCCATTGAACTAGTATCTTGTTGCATAGCATTAGCGATCTAATCTGCTTAAGGTTCAATGTTGTACCAGCTAAGAATCTTCTTTTTGAATTTCAATCTGATTCATAAGATTAAGTTGTGATCAAAATTCAATTTTTAATTAGGTCAACTTCATTTCTGTTAAGTACTTTATTTTAAATTTCGTAAAAGTGTTACATTAAGCTTATTATGAAGTAGTGATCCAAAATTACTGCTCATGCTTGAATTCCTTTTATTTGTTTTTGATAAAATGGCATTGGTTACCAATATAGATTGGAAGAGTGTCATTTGAAATTTATATTCCTTAGTCACTCTTAATATTTGTTCGCCTTCATTGTCACACAGGGGGGTACCTCCATCACCGAGATCTGATCATGCTGCTGCAGTAAACGCAGAGCGCTACCTTTTTGTTTTTGGTGGGAGTTCAAATGCTACTTTCTTCAATGATTTGCATGTCCTTGACTTGCAAACTGTAAGATAATTAAACTTTTTGTTTTTTTTCTCATTTGCTTGTCCGGGGAAATAATATCTGTATTCGTTTATGTATTTGGATTTGTAGATGGAATGGTCAAAACCCGCACAACACGGTGTGTTACCAACACCTAGAGCTGGTCATGCGGGTGTGACTGTCGGGGAGAACTGGTATATTGCTGGTGGTGGAGACAACAAAAGCGGTAAATGTCTATCTCGAAAATCAAACAGAATATCATTATTGTTCCTTGTACCTAGACCTCCCCGTAAATGCTTATACTGTCAGCATTTGAAATGAAGATACGAAAAAGCTTGACGGATCCGTTGATCGTGTGAAGAAACTTCTATCACTACTTACTCTGTTGTTTGTGCTATTCTCTTCTTGCAGGAGCGTCGGAAACTATAGTCCTCAACATGTCTACGCTTGTCTGGTCGGTTGTGACATCAGTTCAAGGATCTATTCCTCTTGCCAGTGAGGTATTTTACATTTTACAAATCATTGTTGACTCAAAATGCAATGCACGTGGAAGATTCTCGCTTTAGTCACTTACGAAATCGTACAATTATAATTAGTCCAATGAAAAAATTGCACTTTGGCCCCTCCAATTTTTTAGCTGACCCTATTCCTTTATGCAATGGGGTAAGAGGACTTTGGCCCCTCCAAAAATTTGTAAATTCCCTCTGGTCCCCCTAAAATAAATCCCAGCTTTGCACCTGATGGAAATAGTTGGAACTCTTGGACGTTGCACTTCTCTGCAAGAGGAATGCTAATATCTTATTGTACTGTTTTGACAAAAATGTTAATAATTATTTACTCGTGGCAAAAGAGGTGTTTTGTTTTTGTTTTCTGAGTTGCAGGTAAAGTTCATGTATTGACACTCAACCATTTACATTCGTTGTGGTATATTGGTCGATAAAATTACAATATAATTTCTCTCTTATTTTAGGGGTTGAGTCTGGTTGTTGGTTCCTTCAACGGTGAAGACATACTCGTATCATTTGGAGGATATAACGGGCGTTACAACAGTGAGGTAGAGACGCTTTTGGCCTCTTTATTACGACTTCCTTGATCTTTTTGTTTCTGTTTTGAGTTCTTATGTTTTGATTCCAGGTTAATGTTCTCAAACCAAGTCGCAAGTCGGTGGCTCCTGTCAGCGATAGTGCTTCTGCTGTGTGTAACGCTGCAAATCCTACCAGAGATCCGCAGTCTGAGTTTGAAATTGGTCTAGAAGGAAAAATACGAGAAATTTTCATGGATAATGTCGACTCAAAGCCCACAGTACGTAATATTTTGTTTGTGCATTCAGCATTCAAAGCCAATTAAATTCATTAGAGATCTGCTGATAGAAATCTTCTGATATATAGTACACGCGTGCTGTTTGATAGAGTGGATTTGTTATAATTCATAGCATTTGGAAGTGGCATCTTAAAATCGTTTTCGATCTCTGCAAAACTTGTATCGAGTCTCATAGTTTTAGTTCATGCGCAGAAATCCGAACGTGAGAAGACTAACGAGCTAATTATAGCGACACTCAAGGCAGAAAAGGAAGAACTGGAATCATCACTCAACGAGGAGAAGTTACAGTCTCTCCGGCTAAAGCAACAACTAACGGAAGTCGAAACTCGAAACCTGGAATTGTACAAGGTACTAATCTCTTAATCTACGATGTCATCGGCGTGCATTCGCTTCGACATTTTTATCTCACTACATCACATTTACATCTTAGGAGCTCCAATCCGTACGTGGTCAACTCGCTGCCGAGCAGTCAAGATGCTTCAAATTAGAGGTATGATCAAATCAAGAGAACAATCCTATTAACTTATAATCAACTTTTATCCGTTTGCTCAGCGAATCAGCCATTGGAAATCGGTTTTCCTTTTACAAACATCCATTCTCAGACGCTTTGCGGCTACAGTCTGCCTGCGAGATACAATAACTCCGCTTGTAGTTTCGGAAAGAGCCTGTAATTGTCTTTTAATAACACTTGAATCAACAGGTCGATGTTGCGGAACTTAGACAGAAGCTTCAGACGATGGAAACAATAGAGAAAGAACTCGAACTCCTGCAAAAACAGAAAGCCGCATCCGAACAAGCTGCCTTAAATGCAGAGCAGAGGCAGGGCTCGGGTGGTGTTTGGGGTTGGCTTGCCGGCACCCCATCGGAATATACCGCCATTGACGACAACGCCTGAAAGTTCATGGAAAAGACTAACTAAATACTTGATCTCTTAATTTTTTTTTCCTTCTCATTAATCAATTTTTTTTTGGTCTAATAATTCTTTTCTCTACTTACCCTATTCTTTATGTGATGGGAATAAGATGTCTAATTAGTGAATTAAACAAAGTGTTATTAGTGAATGTAATGGAGAGTAGGATTTTAGAAATCAATGTTAACTCCGCCGAGGTTTTCAATGACGTTAATGTTTTCACTCCGACGACGGATGCTCATGTCGTCGTTTCAATCAACGGTGATCATCGTTCTTCGGAAAGAACTCCGATCGGCGGAGTCCGTGGTTCAAGTTGCTATTGGAATCACACAGTGAAATTCATCGGTGAGACCGCCGTCCGCAGCCTCGTATTCCGTCTTAATTCCGGACGTCGGCCGGAAGACTCAGACATTGCCGCGGTTGAAATCCCCGTCAACGAAGAACTTTTTCATGGCTACAATGAAAACATGACGGTGGCTCAACCGTTTGTCGCCGGTTTCGTAACGGAGAGATTGAAGGTGTTTTGAATCACTTATATGTTCAGAGACGGTTATTGGAAGCCTGTTCGACCGCCTGTAATTATGTATCCGCCGACTTATTCGAGGTATGCAATGGCGTATCCGTCCCCTAATCCATGGTGGAGCTTTGGGTATCCGCCGTCGTCTCATGCCGTGGGCTATCGTTAATTCGTTATCTACTGTGAGCCTTTTCACCAATTTTTTTCAGCATTGACCGTTAGTCCGTTACAATATTGATTTGATTATTTATGATGCTAATACAACGGTTCACATGTTAGTTGACATGATAATTATAAAATTTAGTAAAATTATATATTGTTTTAATACTTATATATTCTATTAATTTAATTTAATAACTATATAAATTTAAATATTTAATTAAAACTTTTTATGCAAAAAAAAATATTTCAAATTTAAATATTTTAATTATTATACCCAATGAATTTAAAATAAATACGAATAAAAGTGGATAACAAAACGTCAAAACATAGGCTAACCTTCTCCTCGAAGCAATCAATAGCTTAATTATAAGATAAAGCGCGTACATACGCGCGTACAATATGCGCGGCTTCCGCATCACCGCTAATGCTGTTTACCTCCCAAATGGTGATTCTCCGCCGTTCGATTAAAATACTATTTCATCCTTTTACTTTGTAAATTGGAATGTAATCCAAATAAGATTCCCTCCCACATTGATTTTTGGGTAATCTGAGTATTGAATCATCCAACTATTCTTGTGGTTCCGTTTAGGTCATTTAATTATTTTTTCAAAATCATACCTCAAGTTACGTTTTGGTTAATTATCGTTAAAAAATTAACGATAATGATAATGTGCGACTATAAGATAATCTCATGTTATCATTGAAAAATTTGTTACATCAACAATTATTATTTTTAACCATGGATATCTGAAACGTAAATTTAAGTAAGATTTTGAGGGGGAAAAAGTTAGATGACCAAAAAAATTATAAAAATTATTGGGTGACTAAATACATATTTTACCCTTTATTTTTAAAATTTTAGTAAGTATATACCATAATATTAAATGGATTGACTAAATTAATATCACTTCAAGTTCATTTGAATTTGATTATTTTAGGTTCAAGTCATATATATTTATTAAATAGTTTTTTCATTCAAAACATATCAATAAATTTAGGGATGGGCATGGGTCGGGTTAGGTCAGATTTTTTGTCCACCCAACCCAACCCGAGAACAAAGAATCCTCCACCCAAGACTCGACCCGACCAAAATAAGATTACACCTTATTTGAACCCGACCCGGCCCGAAATAATAATAAAAATATTATTTTTATTCAATAAAAATAGTGACTTAATTGAAAAAAATAATATATAGAGGGGTATTATTGTAATTATTCCTAAATATATAAGGTAAAATTATATATTTTTTCGGGTCGGGTATTTTCACCCTAAATCCGAACCCGACCCGATAATCACATTAAAAAAAAACCTGACGCGGCCCAACCCGAACCCGATTTTTTTTAAAAACCCTACTCGATCGGGTCGGATCCCATGCCATCCCTAAATAAATCATATATGGATAACTTAAAAAAAAAGTTTAAGGGCTTATTTCAATAAATATATATAAAATTTAAGGATTAGTGGGTATATTTATTAACCTTTTAATATTAGATATCATCCAGAAAATAGTTTGGAAGACGCGGAGAACAAATTCTAGAAACCGCTTCCCACATAAAACCCTCTTTCATGGCGGCTTCCTTACACCGCCACGATTCTCCACATAGAACCCTCTTTCATGGCGGCTTCCTTGCACCGCCACGATTCTCCAATTATCTTTCGTTCTTCTGACATTTTCTCTCGCTATATAAACAAACCCTTTTCGCTTCTTTGTTCATCAATCCGATTTCAATTCGCAACCAGCTTTAATTCCTTCACTTTTCTTTTGATTTCCGAGAAAAAAGATCATGGAGTTTCGACCTTTAGAAATCAATGTCATCTCTGCAGAAGATCTCAAAGACGTCAATCTTTTCACCAAGATGGACGTGTTCGTCGTCGTTTCTATCAACGGCGATCACCGTTCGGGTCAAAGGAGTCCGGTTGACAAGGGCAGTGGACCGAATCCGGAATGGAATTGCTCTTTGAAGTTCACCGTCGACGAAGCCGCCGTTCTCCGAAACGGACTCAGCCTCGTGTTTCATATTAAATCAGAACGTAAGCTCGGAGATAAAGATATCGGTACGGTTCAAGTTCCGGTTAAGGAGTTACTTGATGAGGATAACGGAAACGGGAAGATTAAACGGAACTTGAGTTACGCCGTCAGGTTGCCTAACGGAAAAGCTAAAGGTGTGCTGAATTTCGGTTACAAGTTCGGTGATAAGTTCAGCTCACAATTTCCGGTTACGTCGGAGAAGCCGGCAATGGCGTATCCGCCGCCTTCAACTAGTTATCCTCCACCACCTTTTGCATATCCGCCGCCACCCCACTCGGCGGGTTATCCTTATCCTCAACCCGGTTCCGGACATCCATCGTATGGATACCATCACGCACCGGTTCAAGGGTATGCATATCCGGGACACGGTGGATATTTCGGATACCCTCCGGTGCAAAAACCGCAGAAGCCGATGAAGGGCGGCGGCGGCATGGGAGCGGGGTTAGGATTGGGCTTGGCGGGTGGGTTGTTGGGCGGAATGTTGATGGGTGATATGGTTGGAGATTCTTATGAAGCTGGTGTTGAAGATGGGCTTGATTTTGATTTTTAATTTAATATTTTCCCTCTGCTTTGAGTTTTTACATTTTGGCATAGGATAATCTGTAATTATACATAATTAATTAAATATAAATATTTATATGTATAGTTTTTATATATATATAAATACGTGGTGTATACCATGTAGTGTATGTTTAATAATTTTTAATTCTTTGACAATAATTGTTTATACTCCAATATATGCAATGTTCGAACTTGAGATTTTAAGTAATAATAATAATATACACAGTGTTCGAACTTGGTATTTCAAGTGATAATAACAAATTTCTTAATCACTATAATAGTTTGATTCGTGTAGAGTATAGATTGTTGTTTTCTCGATTGTGGTACACATTTTACAAAGGCCATCTTCCAATCTTGTAGCTTGTAGTTTCGAGCCGATTGAGATATCATATATATATATATATATATATGAAGATCTCACACCGCATTTATCTATATTTTCTTTTTAAAGAAAAAAAGGTAGATTTTGTGGGGTTTAAAAAGGTAAAATATGTGATTTGTTTTGCCTTTTCTGCAACATTGATTTTAACGCCTTTTGGATTGGATTGAGTATGAATTTATTCTATTTTGAGGCATGGAATGATCACCTTTAATTTAATACCATCCAGGGTAGTTCTGTTATACGCTAATCTAATATAAGCCTAAGAAAATGCGTAATTAAAAATGTTAATAATTTATAACATTTTCGATAAGACGTTACCTAAAATGTTAATCTTTTAACATTTTTCCTAAATAATATATTAATTTCTTAACGTTTCCGGTTGCAATCATAAATATTATTTTTTTTCATAACATATTCGGTTGTAACCTAAAACGTTAAAATGATTAACATTTTAGATAACAAAATTAATATTTTAGGTAGCGTTCCACCGAAAATGTTAAAATAAAATTAACATTTTCAGTTGCGCTTTTTCTTAACCTTATATTAAATTGTATTTTCTCATACATCCTCACTATAAACAAGTAATCAAATCACTAAAACTAGATTATGATAAATTCAAATTTGATGTGAATATTCGGTTGCTCTATTGTGTGGTTCATGAAAGAAAATTTATTTTTTAAAGGGTTAATAATTATTCCCCTTAATTAAGGTAGAATTAGAAATTTAAAGTGTGATTAATCCTTCAAATGATTTTAGTGGTAAAAAAGAATGATATACTTTATACAGAATACAAGTTCGAATAGTAATTACATTTGTAAGATATGTACGGGTTATTAATGACTGATAAATATTTTAAACAAATATTATCTGTTAACAACTCCAAATTATTAAAAAGAATAAAAATATCTTTATATAAAAATTATAAAAAAAAATCAAAAGTTTTTTAGTGTTAATTGACACCCTAATATACAATGTGACTCCACCATTGTCCTTATCCATACTCTCTTAGTCTCATAATTTGTGTCTCATATTGACTATGCACATAGTTTTAGAAGATATATTTTACTAAAAGAAATGACAAAATTATCTCTAATAAGTGATTAATAGATTTATTTTAATAAGTATAAAAGAATGAGACATATAAGAGTAAAAAATAAAATATAAGTGTTGTTATTTATTAATTTTTTTAATAAAATTTTTTGAATGGGATAATTTTAAAAACCAAAAGAGTTACAATTAATGGAACGAATGAAATATTATTTTTACTATTCAAATTCAAATTTTCTTTTTTATATAAACAGAATGCATATTATTAATACATCCAATCTTTATAATGATTAGAATTTAATTTTAGACCCCACACTAATTCTTTTTCCTTAGTTACCTTTAGTTTCTTTTCTTTTTTATTTTTGTGATTGATAGCGGTATCAATTTTGGTGTTAGTCGACTACCGTCGGTATTCATTGTTTCTCCGTTGCTTTATTATAGCGTTTCTTTTTTTTAATAATTTTGCCTTTATGACAAGTCTTCTTCTATCTTTGTGACACAATTTTATCTACCTTTATGACACGTTTTTTTGTTTGGTCGTTGTTTTCATTTTTTTTTTCTTTTTTAAGGTTGGATTTGACATCGTCACGACTGATCATGACGACGCTTATTTGATATCATGTTGATCTTTCTTACTTTGGACCTCAGATTGAATTTGGATACGCGGTTTGCGTTCCTGAATAATATTTTTACGTCGCTCAATTCTGATTAATAGTTTGTTGATGGTCTTTCAACAGTTTCACCTCCTTTTGTGGTTCGTTTACCGATATAGTCAGATCTGTTCGTATCTACCTTTTGTTCGAGTTTATTTGGTTAGGTTTTTTAACATTTTCCTTGTATGGTCCTAGTATGATCTTAAGTGACTAGTTTTTTTTTGTGTTTTGAAAAATATTTTTATTATGTGTTTAGTTTACGAATTTGATCGTAAACCTTCATCGTAATTCAAAATATTTTTTATTTTTAATAAAATTAACAGATTTTATATAAAAAAATTCAAAATAAACATCTTTCCAACATCAAGTTCACATTTTTAACAATAATGCAAAACGAATAATAGTAAGTTTTTAGCAAGTGGGCAAAAAACAAAGAAAGCCACTACTTGTTAGCACTTGGGCTTGATAGATACACTTTTCATTTATCGTTGTCCATGAAAGGGCAAATAAGTAATTGCCAGCTTTGTCCTACTACATGCTCTATTAGAATAATGAATATCTTCCAAAGTAATAATTAATTTGATGATTTTTTTTCTTAATTCTTAAATAGGAATATATTTAAACTTAATTATCCAAAGTAAGATTTCCCATCAAATGAAAAATAAGATATTAAATTAATTATAATTTTACTGAAAATCAATTAAAATGGAAGAACTCATACAACAATCTAAGGAACAAAAAATGCCCTTCCCTTTGAACAAAGATATTAACAAGAAATCAGATTATTAGTTTAGAGGTGAATTATTTAGAGAGTTATTATTATCGACTATGTATGCATCTGATAATTATAAATAGAGAGAATATTTTAAAAGAATCTTACATATTATGTGAAAACTATTCCGTTTTAGTTTAAATACAAAGAATTGTTATTAAATTTGTCGATACTCCGTCGCTTAGAGTTTTCGAATAAATTCCTTCGCTTATCGAAGCTTCTAAGGAATCCATATACTATGGGCATAGATTTTGAGTCAATTACAAATACATAGATAATACCTATGACATACACATGTGACATACTAGACTGAAATCCAAGATCTGACCATAAGATCTATCTAGTATATTGACCTACAAATAGTTATAATGACCTTATTTTAACATAAACAGTTAAAATCACTATAAATACTCCTAAGTTAAGATTAAGAAAAATAGGTTGAACCTTTTTCAATCTAGAGTTTATCTTCTTTTTTTTGTATGACAAACTCTTTCTTATGGAGAGATACCAATCAATTGTCGTTTTTTTATCGACTACGATTTTTTACTTAATTTAAAAAGAATATATTAAGAATTGACGAAATAATCTCGTTGCCATCAACATAAAAGTAAGAAAAATTCTACAACGCTCGTCAAGCGTGGATGAGCACCGTTAACGATGAGCACTATTAAATTAATTTATAAAATGTTAAATTATAAAATACTAAACGTACAATTATAAATTAATTAAAAAATAAAAATGTAATTTAATTAAAATAACATATTTATAAAATATTATTTTTTAGGATAAATTATACCATTGACCACCTAACTTTTTATCCCTTTTACTTTAACCATCAATTTTTTAATTTTGTCAATCAAGTCACCTAACTATTTAAATATTGTCAAGCAAGCCACCTGCCGTTAAATATTAACGAAGAAGATGACGTTACAGTTAATAAAATTTGTATAATTTACACATTAGTCCTCATTACTTACACATTTTATTAATTTGGTCATAACTTTTAATTAATTCAATAAACTTAATCCTCAATCAGATGGTGAAATGTGCCACTATGTGATTGGTTTTTTCCTTAATATTTTTATTTAATTTAATAAATTTTCCATCCAATCAAATGGTGCCACATGTCACCACTTGAATGAAATGAAAATAAATTGAATCAATAACTGCTACTGGTGGGGTTTGAACCTAAGACGTGAGAAGAGAAAGCAAATGCCCCAATCACTAGGCTACACCAATCAAATGACAAATCTATCACGACATAATATATATAGTTAATGGGAAAAAGAAAAAGAAAAATGACCTAATAAGAACTCCAACATGAAATAATTGAATAGTACGATAATATGATATATATACACAAATATTATAATTGATTAATATGTGAATGTATTTTATTTATTTTTTAAATCATTTTAATGAAAAAATAAAAATGAAAATAATTTTAATATATTATAATTGAAATATAATGAAGAGCTTTGTTGACTTAGAATTTTCCAGATAGTTGAGGGCTTATCGTAGTAAACATTTTAACTTATGCATTGACTTGTTTATATCCCAATTAGAGTAAAAATTGTATATTTTATTATTTATTCATTATATATTTGAAGAAAATTTTACATGAAAATTGATTTTATTGAATTAATCTATTTTAATATAGAGTTGTTAAATAAGATTGGAATCCGATCAATATTCTAATATTTTAAAATATAAGATATGATATATTTCAATTCAATAAAATATGTAATGAAAATAATTTATTAATTTAAAATATATAAAATGATACATTTCAATTACAATATATTTAATTCACTTTTATTTTAAATTTTGCATTAAATTTGATTTAAAATATAAATAAAACATATTCATTTATTAATCAATTATAATATTTGTTTTTATATATTTTATATTTTCATACTATTCAATTATTTCATGTTCGAGTCCTTATAAGGTCATTTATTACCATTAACTATATTATAAATTATATAGATTATATTCTATATACTAAATAAATTTAATGGTTTAGCTTAGTGGTTAGAGTGCTTAATTTTTTGGCTTGCATCCCAGGTTCAAACTCCACCAGTAGCGGTTATTGATTTAATTTATTTTCCATTCATTCAATTGGTGACACATGACACCATTTGATTGGATTGAAATTTTATTAAATAAAAAATATTAAAAATATTCAATCACACAGTGACACATGTTACCATCGGATTGAGGATTAAATTTATTGAATTAAATAATAGTTAGGACCAAATTAATAGAATGTGTAAGTAAT